CTGCGCACACACTTCTCCGTTTATGCGACTACACATTCAGTGATTCTAGTGTGCTCAAGATCGATCCACGCACTCCAGATAGCCACTACTTTTTACCTACGATCGAGGATATATATCTTTTGGGACCCTCGGTCAATTCAATATCTTCCGGGCTGCTCAGTGTCTACCTGGCTTCAGATCGTAAAAAAGTGCTTTGCTCAACTATTTTTCCGATTGATTTCTTCGTAAACAGACAACAAGTTTCTATTCGCATTGCATCGTAATCAATCGGCTCACTCATTACACGATACGAGACACCTCTACCATACACGAGAGGTTACTTCTCAGAGGTTCATACGACCGTAAGAAGGGGTACTTAGAGGAAGGATAATACGTCCAGACAAGGGAAGGGGTACTTTAAGCAAAGGTGATTTTAAAATCTACGATACCACCATCACAACAGAGTCATTCACCCGTCGGTCATCGTCGCATCAACACCTTTGTTTTATTATTCAGTTTTTTTTTTTTTCATTTTTTGCGGTCATCATTCATACCCACTAAATTAATTACTTCGGCTTCGACTACGATTAAGTCAGTGCTTGTGATAGTGTGTTGATTTATTTAGTAAATAAATCGTGTGAAAAAAAATTATAAAAAAATTTAAACACCGAACTGAGACGATGAAGACGATTTTGAAATAAATGCACGGACATTATTATTACTATTATTAGTTTTTTTTTTTTTTTTTTTATGGATTTTAAAATCAAAGTGAGTGAAGTGCAAAAAGTGGTTTCCATTCCGGAGTGTCGGTTTTGAATTGTCAATTAAAAAAAGCCTGAGGATATCGTGTGACGTGTAAAATTAATAATCAAAGGTCAGTAGTAAAACATGTAATTTATCTCATTTCATTTATTCTCTCGCGGTTGAAAAAATAAAAATTTTTTTCGAGTGTGAAGATTAATTTAAACGGTCCGCCAATTAATTTTGTCTAGTTTGCGGCTAATGGACTACTGCCGATTCTTCCAATGAATAATAATAATAGTTGTAGTATTTAACGAAAAAAAAAAAAAAATCAAAGTCGTCTTATTACGACTACTCTGATTACAACACCTGGACGCTTTCGATTTGATTTATGATTGCCCTTTTTTTAGTTAAAAAATTAAAAAAAAAAAGGAAAAGAAATAAATAATGATAATAAAGAAATTACGCTAGGTAATTGTATAATTAATAATTTCAAAACTCATGGTGAAGACTTTAATGATCGTCAGCTGAGAGTAAATCGGTGAATAATATATTTATAGTTGTGTTTATTTATTGTAATATCAAATCTGTATGATGTATGGATATAAAACGCACATGAATAATAAAGCAACAACAAATCATTGAATTGCACGATATTTAAAGTAAATTGCACTTGGAATCAAATATCGAGTGAAAGGTATGTGTCGAGTAACCAGTAAATATATTTATCCAATGCACATAGATAATATACGTATATAAATATAAATATAAATGAATGGAACGCAAAGAGACCAAGACAATGGGAAATAATAAACAAATGCCATAACCCATAACAACAATATCTATCTGGCTGACGGTGATGTTGATGGTGCTAGGGTTTACTAGTGCGTCACGAACATCGAAAATTTCGTCAGAACGGAAACTCTTACTACTACTGCGGACTAGCTCATAGAATATTACTGCTCTGAATCCAGAGCTGACAGAACGCGGGCTAACCAGATCGTGACGATGGGTTTAGATAGATTTGCGGGGGCGAGGGATATTTTCGAGGCATGATTAACGATTCGATTGTCACGGCTAATGAGTACTCGATAATTAACCGGGTATCTGATAATTACGCAATTATTCCTCATGTCGATCATCCGTGACGAGGTTTTTTTTTTTTTCGATATTACGATCTTGTCTGATGTGTTATTGACGTTCTTTAATCACTAGATTAGATTACTTTTAAATCACTCAAATAATTAGTGTTAAAATATTCAAATTTAGAAATCGATTACATATTTTTATTACCATAATATTTATAACATTTATATTTCAAAAATTTCTACTTTTATTGTTTGAATTTAGATTACGAAAAAAGTTAAAAATTAAACTTTCTAGTTAATAAAAGTAATATCCGCGCTTTAAGCGACAATTGGACCCGCATCGAGTGCATTTAACAGGTGTGTATCCGGTGTGTAGATATATTTTCACAGGCGATAGTTTTACAGGTGTCTTAACCTCCAGTAATACGGATGTATCCTTCAGGGACTACTTTATGAATCGTATAGTGAGTAAATAAAAAAAAAAAAATTTTAAAGCACAAATCAGAAGATTAAGTAGATAAATTTTTCTACAACAATAAATACTCTCGGGGGTTTTTAATAAAATAATCTCATTGTTATCTTTTATCCTTGGACTTAGAGAAGGATTCAAGGATACGAGTAAGAATCGGAGGATGAAGGCGAGCGAGCCTGATGGTTTTGAACATACATATCGGCTGGTATTTTCATGAAAGACGGTACCGAGTTCGAGGAGTGAGCATGGCAGTCGTTTTTAGTTAAATGAGCATGGATGGTGTGTTGGTGATGATGGCGTGCAGCCGACGCCGGCACACGGATCTCGCTCGATCGCTTTACAAAAGAATGAGAAGCCGACGATGATCGAGATCGGGAATCGCCACGAGGCACTACTCGGGAATGAGCCTGGCTGGCTCGCTCGAAACTTGTGTGATATCCTGCGCTTACTGGTTTACTGTGATCTATGTAGAAAATCGGTTGCGCGATATTCCCGCCGACGCTAACAGACAGATATTCGACGAGTTTAAGAATCAAGCCGTGAGAGAATCGTACCAGCAGCTACTTTTCTCGTTTATGCCTTAAGCAGCTCACGGACTAAATTATTTTCCTTATTTTTATTTTTCTTTATTAAACCCTCATTTTTTATTTCAGTTTTACTTTTATTTCAAATTTTCTGCTATCCAAAAAATACTTTTTTTTCGTAATCTTTAAATATTTTATTACGAGTAAAAAAATACTCTAAAAAAATAAAATGTTGAGCTTAAAAAATTCTATATATATATATATATATATATATATATATATAAAAATTGAAAGGTAAAAAAATTTTTTACCGTTATATTGATGACAATATGAAGTAAAAAACGAAAAATTATATTGACCCTAATTTCCAACTAGATTTAAAAAAAAAAAAAAAAACATTTTTTGACTCATTTTTTAAGAGTGTATTTACAGCTCTCCCTAAATGAACATTTTTTTCCGAGTTTTTTAGTCATTTTATTGCGAGCATAAAAAATGTTTCAGTTCAAAAAAAAAAGAATACGCTGTCTTTAACCGTAATTTCGTTTATGGTACTATTTAGTCAATTCTGCAGGCTTAAATATAATGTGAAAGACTTACACTTACACTTTAGTACAGTTTACTAAGCCGGTAAGTTTGTATAAGTAAAGAGAGTTGATGATACTATATTTAGTGTCGTTATTCGTGTGTACTTGAAATTCGAGTGTACACAACCAATACCAGGTCAGGTATTTTTTTTTTCTAGGTAATTATACATAGGGACACAATTGCAATAAAATGATTAAGTATGTGAGGCTTAAAAGAGAGTTTTTATTTTTTATTTACTTAGAGGATTAAAATTTTTCATTGTAGTTATTTTCTCCGTAACAAATTCTTCCTCTCTTTTTATTATTACTGTTACTAGCGCAAATGTCCCTCGACTTGCATTCCTATTAAATTCCAGGGAGATTTTTTCATCCATTTGGAGTTAATTTGATAATTAATTAGCAATATTGACGCAGAAACTTTAGAATGGGGGAATAAAAAAGGCTGGGAATCAGCGAAAAACCGCAAAGAATAGCTCAGTAGCTGTCGTTGGGCCTGCATCCGCTTTTCAATCTTGAATCAGCAGAGGCTGGCTCGAAAAATGTCTAGCCTGGTAACGGTTGTGAAACTATTTGCGGTAGCCGGGTCTGAGAAATATACGGGAAGAACAAACATATATTATAACACACATAGATTAAATATATGGATATTTTTATTTTCTTTAACAAAACCGAGAATGAGTCAGCTCAGCTGTGAACGAGTATACACACGGGAAGACGTTAATTTATCGACGATGAACTCAGATGCTCGATAAACATCTCCACTTCACTTCTAACCCTGAAGATGCGGTTTAAGATATAAATTCTTCGGATAAATGGAAAAATATAAATATACATAATTACTTTACTACCATTGTAATTGTAATAGTAATTGTAATATCCGTGTCGAGGTGTTTGCTTTGAAAAATAGACCACAGTATACCGGATAAATATACAAATATATAATTTCTTAATAGAACAGGTCAAAAATTTTTAGGATTTATTAACAGTCGAGTCTGTTTGTTTTCGTTAGACCCGAATTGATTTTTAAATTTGCTCAACTATTTAGCGATCGGTTGTCACGTATGAAAGCCATAAAATCCAGGTCATTTCTTGCCTGATTATTCAAAACTTAGCCAACTATGGATGGATTATATTGAGCTGTCGAGACCTTGAAAGCGATAATTTTGATAAGATAATTTTATTCATTATTATTATTACGTTACAAAGCTCAACGAAAACAATAAAGAAAATGTATGAGGATGAGTTTTCCGCTTGTTTAACGTAACACGCGCCCCCACTTGTATTATTTACGTATACTTTACTTATCCTAGCGTAGTGGTTAAGTTTTATATCGCTACGATTGAGTGACTCGCGAGTAGACCGAGCTGAGTGAGAGAGCCAATTGCACAATAAATGTCCCGTGTAGTTATAGTTAAGCCGGTGTCCTCTTCTCTTTCGCGATCACTCACTTGAACCACCACGAGTACCAGTGACACGATGTTTGTTCTCATAAATAATGGATAAATAATAAGGATTTTATTTGCCTATAGTAGAAAATTACCCGAGAACAGATATATAATTCGTATTCTCTATAAATATAGGTACATTGTTATTATTTTTTATTGTTATTTTAATGGTTTTGTTGATGGTCGTAATAATTCTTCAGTTCACGGTCCAGTTGCTCCGAGAATTAATAGACTTGAACAAAAAGTCCATGGACTTGTCGATTGATTTTAATTGCTGAGAAATCATTTTTTTTTTATTAAATGTGTATTTTATTTGTTACAGATGAACCAGCAGTGCAAAGTTTGCGGGGAACCGGCAGCGGGATTTCATTTTGGAGCATTTACTTGCGAAGGATGCAAGGTTTGTTTATTTTTTTTTTTTATTTTAAAAATTAGCATGCTTATTCGGAAGTTTTGATGATAAATTTCTTTTTTTAATAATTATGATTTAAATACAATTTAATTATATATAATTTTGAAAGTTATTGAATAATCTTTACGTGACCCAATAATTATTTAACCGAAAAAATAATTTTTTTAGTGACTAAAATCAGAATTAAAGTCAAGGAAAAATAATAAAATTAAAAAAGAGTAGAGTGTTTATTATTGCGTAGGCTGAATATATGTCAAATGAATTTGATGAGAAACATTTGCAGAAAAGATTAAAGAAATAATAAAAATAATAATAGTAAAAAAAAAAAAATAAAATAACAATAACAAAAAAAGGAATTAAGAATGTACATTTCCCGCTGATGATTTCCCGTCGATGTCGCAAAGCCACAAGGCAATCGCTTTCACGACCCGAGGTTAAACGTTTGGTTAAGCATGCGTGCAGCGACCCCGCGAGTAGTCCGAAAGTGTCCAAGGGAGTTGTGTACCACAGGCTACCAACCAAGTACCAGAAGAAATAACAATAAATATTAAATAAAATAAAGATAAATAAAGGAACAAACCGGGCTTGTAAAATAAACGGACAACCATGTACGACACGTGAAATTGTAAAAAAAGTATGGAACAAAAAAAAATGAATTTAAATCCACAGAGCCGTGTGGTAGGTGATGGTTCCGATGACGTCTGCAGTCGATCGTCGAGCGTGGAGGCGGTGGTGGAAAAAATACGAAACAGATTAGAACGGGAGTCGAGTAATGTAATGCAACGTAATAGTTAATGCTAATGGTGGGAGGTGACATGCTACGATGGGCCTGAAAACGAAAATAATGAAACGAAACAATGTCGCGGGTTATGTAATCGTTAACTAGGGCGGAAACAATTGTGGCGGGCAAGTGCGAAGCGCCGGATAAATTTAAATCCACTTATTTTTTATCTCTAAATCTGATATCGTTACTTTTCGTTTTGTTTATACTCCACTCAATTATCGTCTACTTAAAATTTCATTTTTTTTTTTTTCATTTTGTTAAGTAGGTCATTGTACATACTATTAAATTTTTTTGGAGTCTTGTATGGAAAATTATAAATATAGGTTAGTTAAATAGAACGCAGTGATTTAAGGTTTTATATTTAAAAAACTGCGTTTTGAGAAGCGTCCTTACGCTTGAAAAAGTCCTTTTTATGACCCACGTGTTCAGGATAAAAAGAGAGCTAGGACTAAATTGCCCTTTCTGAGAATATTTCAACTTAATGTTGAGTTTTTAAACTTAAAATCTAAACGTTAAGCTAAAATCACAAAATAGAAACTTATAAACTAAAATTAATTTTTGTACGAAGAATTAAACATCTCGTTTGCTCAAAAAATGATAATTTAAATAAAAACACGAGTGATATTAATTGTAAGCATTATAAGAAGTAACGATTTCACTGATCGGTATACTGTGGTGGTCATTAAATTTGGCAGCGTAACGCGACCGTAAACTCGGGCACGAGGTTAACTATCACAACACCGTCAACAATAATGTGTACCTATACAAGTACTTGCGTAATAGTGTTAGGAGTAAAAGAGAGTAAAGGAGTAAAGAGCGTGGTTGTGCATAATGGTGGTATTTTCACGACACCGGGGATTGTGTCATCACCTAGCCATCATCAGTCGAGCTAGTTGAGTCCGAAGAGCGTCGTGGTTGACGATGCACTCTTGTAATTCTTGTAATCCTCCTGAAATTACCCGAATGGTAATGGTAATGGTCATAGTCATACACACTAAATAAAAAACTTTTGTGTGTACTTTTGCCGAGCGTGTAATGAGTTAGCCTGAAAACACCGAGTTAAACAAGCGAAGGACTGACGACAGAACAAGAAAAAATATTACCACTTTTTAGATCGCATCGATGAAGACAACCAAAACATAAAAGTTAACTTTATCGCAAGTCCCACTATATATTACCTAAACGAGCTACTTGTTGCGTACATATTTATCTTTTAATATAAACGCCCTATAATAAACAAAGTATTAACTCTTACGCGTCTATGAACATCGAGGACTAAGACGACGCCTACCAGGGCGACCGGAAACTATTAATATAATAATCCACGTGGCCGGAAAAAAGGGAAAGCGCCGGAAAACGTCGAGGCTATTTTTATATTTAATATACATCTATTTATTTTTTTTACCTATATGTTCATGTTCACGTATACATATAATTACTTTAAGTGCTTTCATTTTCACAGTTTATATTTTAACGATTATAATTTCTTCCTACCCAACAAATTATTAGTATAAAATCAATTTTATAATCTACTAGTAGCTCCAAAAAAGTAAACATGTGCTCATTTATAGCCATAAAGAGTAATTAAAAAAGTATCCAAGTTTATGAGGAGTATATTGCACCAGGAGGCTTTAGCCTGGATGGTAGACCGAGATATTCATCTGGATTTCTTTATTCGTAACATTATTACAACTGCATGGCTGTGTTCTATTGTTCCATCAGCGACGACCGTGTCCCTCTTAACCGAGAAAACGAAACTGCAATTACTTTGTTTACCGCGTGTGCTACCAGCCACCACTCGCACGGTAATTTGTATCAAGCAAAATCCCACCTTCTGCCTATATACCTAGACTTTTACCTCTACTTACCCGAATAGACTACCTTTTTTAATAATAATACTCTCAGCGACAATAATGGTAATGTTGTAGCATGTTTATGTCTACTATACCTGCTGTACGGTGTTGGAATCATGTAAAAATATTTCACCACCACTGACAATTAGAGATTAGAGGGCGAAAGAGTAGTAGGCCGCGCACGCGCCTTGATCCCCTTCTATGTTCAACAATTCAAACTCATACCGAGCACCCACTGCATATAATAATTTAAACCTAACTGTTACACTACAGTAGTCCCTGTATTACAAGTGTACAGTCCGATGAATGAGACAATGAGACCGCGATTGCAACAATCCTCAATCCACCTCTACCTACTGTCACAATAAAACTCCTACCTGCTTAACACAATAATTATTTAAATTATTAGCAATATAATGAATATTATTTCCTTTTTTGTTACAGTCATTTTTCGGGCGATCCTACAACAACCTTAACAGTATCTCCGAGTGCAAAAACGGGGGCGAGTGTGTCATCAACAAGAAAAACCGTACTGCTTGCAAAGCCTGTCGTCTGAGGAAATGTCTGCTGGTCGGAATGTCCAAGTCGGGTTCGAGGTACGGTCGCCGTTCCAATTGGTTCAAGATCCACTGTTTGCTGCAGGAACAGCAAGCCCAGCAGCAACAACAGAGCCTTCATCACCAACAGCAGCAGAGTCTCCCCAGCAGACCAACACCCCAAAACACGACCCCTCCGAGGCTGCAACAGCGCAGCAAGGAAGATTCCCTGATGCTGGGCCTAGAAGAGTACAAAAACTCAACCTCACCATCCATCAGCTCTCCAGAGTCTCAGAACAGCGACAGCTCGATCGAGGTGTCAGAGAGACGCGCAGCTTACAGCCTCCACCCTGGATTCAGGCCTCTGCACCCCCATCTGGGAACACCAGACCTAGCAACGCTCGGGAAAGACATGATGGGACTTCCGCTGGGCTTTCCCTTCGGAAGCATGCCCATGATGCCTCCGGCGTTCCTACCTCCCTCAATGTCCATGATTTCTCCCTATCTCTACGCCTCCTACCCTCACAATCCTAGTCTAATCTCTCACTCGTTGAACTCCTCGATTTCTGAAAGCAACACGCCGCTAATCACCGACGAGTGCAAGAACATCAACAATAATAACCGGTACACGGCTAACCACAACGTAGTCGAGGAATTACCAACCAAAAAGAGGGTCTACTTGGACGCTGTCCTCAAAAGCCAACTACCTTCGCCCCCGTTGAAGAAAATGAAATTAGACTCTCCGAGATTCGATGAAAGCCCTGAGCCAGATTGTGAACGCTTCGAAACTAATTTCCCTGATGATTGTTTGCCCCCTCAAGACACACCGATTGACTTGTCGATGAAAGCGGCCAGCGTGATCGCGACCAGCGAGGACTCGGATGATGAACGCCAGACCCAGGATGAAGTGGACTTTGAAAGCGACCGAGAGAGCCCGGTTATCATGAGACGACCTGCGCCGATCGATCTCACCACAAGGTCGTAATCGATTGCAAATGATGAATAAGTTACGAATGCCATCGCTTCTTTCATATTGTTAAATGCTAATCGGATTTATGACGTTAATTTATGGGTAATATCAACGGTTTAAAATGTTTGTTCGCTGTTTTACAAAACTGTCGGACTAATTTTTTATTTTTATTTAATCCGTTGGGATTTTAATACCTTGCGTTGTCTTTTTTATTGAGAACTGACATGAGTTAAAAATTTATCTGTCAAATAGAATAAACCCGAATAAAAAATTGTTGCGCGTTTGGCATAACGTTAAAATTGGCAAAAAAAAAAGTCAAAACTGTTCATTTTAAAAGAATTTATTGTTTTCTTTACGATGTAAATAATTTTATTAATTATTTTAATGGCCAGTAATTATGATAGTTGTTAAATTATAATAAGAATTATAATTTAAATTATTGTTTTTTTTTTTTTGTTTATTTAAATTTATAATCACGGTGCAATCATTAAATTTACTGTATTAAGTTTACAGATATACTTTTAATAATGAGCGAATGTTTATTAAATACACGAATATTTAAGTAGAGTACTTATAAAGTTGTATAAAAGCAAAAGAGAACATGTAAATATTTAAGATTAAAAGTTGTTTTAATTTTTTGTAATAATCAATTAAAAGAGGGACCGAAGCCAGTTGAGTAAATTACTGTAAATATATATATATTTAGGAAGATATATATTAAATAAATCTATGAAAAAAAAAAAACTGTAAGAACAATAATAAATTTTACCTAGGTCTTTTGTAAAAATAAAAAATGAAAAAATTTGAAAAAAATATATAAGAAATAAAAAAATAATTAATGTTGTTTTTGTTTGTTTGGGGTATCGGAATTTAAAGTTTAACGAAATGGGGCTGAAAAATGAATTTAGCGGCGGATAAAAATGCGAGGTTGCGTGTGAACTCGGTAAGAAAAGGTTACGAGCATAAATAGCCAATATAATGAAGCTGGGATAAAAGATAGAGGTAGAGGCTGAGGTAGTGAGTTATAATGTACGGCGGTGGCGGTCGGGGGGCATGAATATTCAACGTACACGCAGTATAAATTCTTGCCCTCATCTCTTCTTCTATTCTCTCGGTGTTGTGTTGTTCTTCAGCTCTATCATAACACACGCCGAGATTATCTTTTGATTTTTATTTACATGTACATATACATATATATATATATAAATGAATTTGTATTTATATTTATATATTTATGTATTATGTATTGGGGAAAAAATTCGCGGTACGTGAGAATAAATAGCTTGGGTTTTAAATATCAATTAGTCAGGAGACGAGACAAAGCTTTAACGGTTTAATAGACGAATCCTTGTTATTATACCACAGTAATCAAGTTTAATAGATGCACTCGTAAAAATTTTTTTCTGTTTTGGTGATGTTTAATGGATAATTAGAGATTGCATTTAACTATCGAATGCCAGATGCTTTATAAATATTCAAATTTGAATTAATTATCTATATTATTAAGAGAATAAGCAAATTTATGATGATAAGTATTTAGGCTGCATTCAAAAATACTCTATCTCTAGATACACAATTAAGAAATAACCTTGTATCTTGAGAACTATTGACATTTTTAAAGATATAAGCTCATCCCGATGTTACACTCATGAAAACCTTTCATTTAAGTACCCACATCATTTTTTCATATCTATACTAATAAATGGAAAGCCAGTTTTTTTTTGTCAGGTTATACTGCGAAAACTACTGAACCGATCGGAATAATACTTATATCATAAGATGCAGCGTATTTCGGAGAAGGTTTTCGTATATGATATGGTGGTGATTACTTATCCGGAACCTATATTTTTTTGACTTGGAAATAATGAATTTTTATTGTAACTAAATTTATTCTATTCGATTGTCATTTGTTTAAAATAAAATTTTTAATTCTATGGGTTATGTTTACATACTAGGCAGATTTCTTCACTTATGAGACCTGCAATTTCTTTAACTGAAACTTTCAATGCTCATTAAAAAATTTTTTTTTCATATCAATTATTATTCATTTTTGTAAGAAAGACACGGGAATGTTATAATTTATAATGATTGCACATTGAAAGTTACAATTGATATTAGCTAGAATATAATTACATGGATAAAAGGTGGATGCCAATTCGATAGAATTGGGAATCTGTGCAAGTCAAAACAATACTCTATAATTAAATTTCAAGTCTAGATCTAAAATTGCAATTCTATAAAGCGCCCAGCGGAGCGAGCGTGCATCAGCTAGTATTATATATATGTATATATGAAAAATATATCAAAATGCATGTGGGTACTCAAATGAAAGCTCTTGAGAGTATCATCGGGATGAGCATATATCTTTAAAAAACGTCAATAGTTAAAAAAGTACAGTGTAAATTAACAAAAGTCATTGTTTAATAAAGCAAAATTCTATTTATGTATAGTTTACAAATCACGGCAAAAAATAAATAAAAGTATTGCTGATAAAAATAGTCTAGCGTAATATAATATGTACAAAGTATACACCAGAATAAACAATTAATCATTTCATCACGTAAATAAGGGGCTATTATTTAAGGTAGAATTAAAAAAACATACATCGATATTCTCACCTTCTCTATCCCGGGAATATAATAAGAGTATGCACCGTCTCCTCGACTTATAAGTTTAACTTTAATAGTATTATAGCTCTAGCTGACTCCGTAGTATTCGAAGCATATAAATCCGTGGTTTATGTGACCGCGGTTCACGGGGTTACCTCGGCTGAGTTACGGTTCACCTCTTATTATTATTAAACCACACAGTTCATCCCTGCTGAATGTAATACCTCACCTGAAACACGCTCATGCACCTACTCCTCAACCCCTGCCTGTAAAAGATACTCCTTGCTCTTGCTCTTGTTGCTCTTGCTGTTGTTGTACATATAATACTTTGTATCCTTCAGTGTTAAGACTACTAAACTACAACCAACTTTCCTACTACCGAATAATCACCTACACTATAACACAACACAACATACACATATATATTTATATATTTATATGTTTAAATATGTATATCGTGCCTAGAGTCTTAAGTTTAATATTACGGGATAGGTATTTATCGTTTGCATGTCATGCAACTTATAACTCAGATGCTGTTGTGTATACTCTATAACCCTTGGCAAAACTAATAAAGCCCTAGCTTATATTTTACTCCATTTAATTTCACAATACTTATCCATCATCGTGGGAGTTTACTTAAAAATAAAAATACATAAAATAAATACATCTTATGTATTTTTAAAAACCTTCAATAAATTACTGTAATTTATTTTAAATTATTTTAGTTTTTATCTCAACTACATTTTATTTATTTTTTTTTCAATTATTCAAAAGGGAGTTTTAATCTCAAGACCATAAATACGATTCCTTTTATTTTCTATCTAATCCGTAGTTGTAAATTATCTAATTTTTACACCTTACTGTTTTCTCCTTAATGGAAAACTAGCAACCTTGCAATCACTATGTGACTGTCGTGACTTGTGAACTATAAATGAAGAAAATTTGGCTTTATTAAATAATGACTTTTGTTAAATTGCACTGTACTTTTTTAATTATTGAGATTTTTAAAGATATAAGCTCATCCCGATGTTACACTCATCAAGAGCTTTCATTTGAGTACCCACATGCATTTTGATATATTTCTCATATATACATATTTATAGTATATACAAATCCTAGCTGTTACTCGCCAACTGGGCGCTTTATAGAATTGCATTTTTAGTTCTAGACTTGAAATTTAATTATAGAGTATTGTTTTGACTTGCACAAATTCCCAATTCTATCGAATTGGCATCCACCTTTTATCCATGTAATTATTCTAGCTAATATCAATTGTAACTTTCAATGTGCAATTATTATAAATTATAACATTCCCGTGTCTTTCTTACAAAAATGAATAATAATTGATATGAAAAAAAAATTTTTTAATGAGCATTGAAAGTTTCAGTTAAAGAAATTGCAGGTCTCATAAGTGAAGAAATCTGCCTAGTATGTAAACATAACCCATAGAATTAAAAATTTTATTTTAAACAAATGACAATCGAATAGAATAAATTTAGTTACAATAAAAATTCATTATTTCCAAGTCAAAAAAATATAGGTTCCGGATAAGTAATCATCACCATATCATTTACGAAAACCTTCTCCGAAATACGCTGCATCTTATGGTATAAGTATTATTCCGATCGGTTCATTAGTTTTCGCAGTATAACCGGACAAAAAAGCCGGCTCTCCATTTATTAGTATAAATATATAAATGTATGAAAAATTGATGTGGGTGCCCAAATAAAAGGTCTCAATGAGTGTAACATCGGGATGAGCTTATATCTTTAAAAATGTCAATAGTTCACAAAATACAAGGTCATTTCTTAATTATGTATCCAGAGATAAAGCTTTTTCAAATGCAGTCTAAATACTTATCATCATAAATTTAAAAAATAGTCTAATTGATAGGAAGATTTTTTTTCAGTCAAGGAATTTTAGAATTTTAGTGACCAATCGAAGCAACAGGTAGTCAGAGTAACAACTGGTCTTGTGTTTGAGCTAAAATATGTCGACTCAGTTACAAGTGGGCCGGATTCCTCAAGTAAAAGACGACCGAGAAAAAGAGCAAACATGATTTAGCTCCAGCCGCGACTATTACTTATCAATTAAACCGATTTATAGGCCCTAAAGGCGTTGCAATTCACCCCGGGGGGTCTTACTAATCGGATACCGTAAGAATTAAAAAAAAAAAAACCTGCCCAATTTTCTTGCATCATTTTTATTTTTTTTATTAATATTATTAACGACAAATTTATTCAGAGCATTTAAATAAATACTAAGCTAAAAATGGAGCTCTCACCAGACTCCATATCCTTTCATAGCCACTAAATCTCTCAATTATTAATCATGACACTTGGTAGACTCTAATCCCTAAACTGTCTTTAATTAATGGAAAGGTATCATATAAACAATCAGGTAAATGTGATTAAGTAGAGAATGATAAGAAAATAAAATGATAATGGTAAAAATAGTTAAGGAAAAATGTGACTTACGTTAAATGGAAGAATTCTGGACTGGATAAAACTGGATAAGTGGATTGTGACACTGGGTTAGTGTTTTTAGTCACGTACTGTCAGGTTTGAGTGTTATCTTGAGGAATTTAATTTGTTTTTAAGGTTTTAGTGTCTTTCAGACTTTGAAATCGGGCCGTTTAAAGTAAACACTTCATAATCAAGGACAGTAAAGTGATAATCGCCCATTAAAATTGTACTTGAGGCATTTTCACCGTCATAGGTGTGAGGTAGATTACTGTAACTTTCTAAATTAACGTTACAATTGTTTGATATCAACAAGTCTGCTCCTGCTCCAAAGATTGGACCAATACTAAAACAAAAAAAAATGTTTTAATTAATTTTATTTAAAAATAAAAGAAAAATAAGTCTTGGTAATAAAATATTTAAAAAAAAAAATAAATTACATACTCAGGATGGTAGCAAATAGCGAATGGCTTTTTAATAAGGTCGTATTTAGTTGGCGGGACATCCTGATTATTGGTAAGCGTAAAAAGAAATGCTTTCTCAGCAGATATGTAGTGACCCTTGGCACTTGTTTTGTCCCAGGCAACATCGCTAAATCCACCGCATATTTCGCCTCGCGAACTCTGAAGTCAAAGAGAAAGTTTCATTTAATTATTTTTTTTTTATTTCTCTATAATTACCACCGTAATAGTTGCTAATTACTTTTTACAGTCAATTATCAGCTATAACTTGACATGAATTAATCACTCTACTGTTGATTAGTATTTAATTAATTAAATAAATTGAGGTACTTACCAAGGCGATGGTGTAGGTTGGCGCGACGCCGTCACAATGACGGTGGAATGCTGATGCTGAGTACCCGTTACTGGATGCGCGATAAATTAGTCGCCAATTTTGCTTGGGGTTTCCATACCACTGATTCAGCAGTCGTTGATATCCCATTTTGTCTCGAGACAGGATTTGAGATCCTGGGAACAGCAGAGGCCCGATTCGGGGCTGCAGGCGCTTGTCAGCACAAATTTCTGAGTACTTGTTGGGTACTGCGGCATAACGATACCTAGAATTATTTAAATAATTTTTTTAGTTACTAATTTATTGAATGACATTGAAATAAGCAGTCACTTGGCTATTTTTTTTTCTTTTCAACATAAATTTGTTTTGAAAAATTATTTTTAAAAAATTGCATTTTTTATTTTTTTCAGTTTCTATTTCAATTTTTTTTTTTTTGTTTTTTTTCCAACAAATAAATTTGTTATGAAAAATTATTTTTAAAAAATTGCATTTTTTATTTTTTACATTTTCTATTTTAATTTTTTTTTTTTTTTTTTCAACAAATAAATTTGTTTGAAAAAATTATTTTAAAAAAAATTTTTTTTCATTTCTATACGTCAATTTTTTTTTGACATAATTTATTTGTTAAAAAAATTATTAAATATCTGCTGAAATAATTTTTATATTTATTTATTGATTATATAAAAAAAATAAATATATAATTAAAAAAAATTACCTTTCAAGTGACAGTTCAATGGGCACAGCACCAGTTGGCTCGACTTCTTCAGCAAATACATGGCTGTCGATCAATAATAATCGAACGTGATTAATAACACCAGCTAGATGTTGACAAACACGAGCACGCTCCTCTTCGGTCCAATGTTGAGTCGGTTGTGTAACACCCGCCTGAAATAATCAATTAATTAATAAAAATATATCTACTGTATAATTAATATAATTATCAAAATAGCTTTTAGTTGTAAATTAATTTATTTTAAAAAATTATTTTGCTCATGACACTGACCCTAGATGTCGAAATTTTTGACACAATTAATTTATTTTATTGATTTTTTATTTCACACGCGATCCTAAATACATTAATATAATCCCGAGAATTATTTCGACACTTAAAAAAAAAAAAAAAAAAATTAAATATATATAAAAAAAAACAACGGCCGGCCATTTTGTTAAATTACGCGGGTAAATCCACCTGTCAATCATTATATACTATTTTTTACTGTTTATTATTCAATTATCGACCTAATTTAATCAAAATTAATTATTCAACCGACTTTTCGAATTAATTAGCAATTATTTATGTAAAAAAATGACAAAAAAAATTAACAAAGACAATAAAATATTTGGCCCGGACTTATATTTTTTCCGATTGATATTTTTATTACTTCTACTAATTATATATCTGAAATTTATTTTTTAGTAGCTGCGGAATACTTAAATGAAACTAATTAAATACTAAAAATGTGTTAATAGCCTAATTAAACCGATTAAAACAATTAATTACTAGCAGAAACGCGGGAGCTGCATCTACAAGCAATGACTTGTCGGCTCTGAAGTTAGTATATACAGTCAAGCGCCGTCTAAAAACCGTTAAACTTCTCAACTAATCAGCTCTCAGAATTTGAATAACAATCGATTCTCGAAGTTTCGATTGTTATTAAAAAAAAAATTATTTGATTACTAATTGAATATTGTTTAAAATTAACAAATTTTAAAAAAATTAAACAAATTACAGAAATAAAAATAATAATTAATATTATGAATAGAAAATATTGGGAAATAATAAAATTGTTTATAAAATTTAAATCGATTACTTTCGATTGTTGGATTATTGTTGTTATATTTTCAAACTTGAACATAAACAAGATGGCGGTTGACCTGGTCGGATCGTGTAGCTCTCAGTTAAAATATTTTTTATTGTAATTTTGATGACTTAAGTACTTACTAATTGAAATAAGTGATTTTAAAGATTGATTTATAATTAAAGTAAATAAATAAGTAAAAAAATTAATAATTACAGTAATTTAAATGAAAAAAATAGTCATGATAAAAACAGCAAATACTTGACATTTCTCCTCTGAAAAATATTTCATTTCCTTTTGTATATGTACTATTGAATAATAATTTTTTTGACAATTGTCAATTGTTTTATTATCAATAATAGAATAATTATTAAAATATTAGATATTTGACAAAGTTTTATTATAAATAAAATTGATAATATTGAAGTAAATAATTTAATAAATTAATTTGACATCAATGATTTTGAATCAGCAAATATCTTATTCTTTTATGAATAAATTATTGTTAAAAAAAATGACAATACTTTCTACAAGTAAATATTATTTCAAATTTTCATTATAATAATTTATTTATTAAAAAAACTTAAAAAAATTGTCAGTTATCTGTCAATTTATAAACCATTGACATCTGACAATTTTTATAATTATTATTCTAAACTTGAGAGTCTGAGAATCTTTAATTAATTTTTTCTTTGAATTTTATTTAGTTTTTACTTTAATTTTATTTAAAATAAAAATTTTTCAGAGATCTGTACCATGAATCAACAGACACTCAGCAATAAATTGATTTAAAAACTAATAAAATATATTTTGATGAATAAATAATTATTATTTGTGTCCTAAAGACATATTTAATTGATAAATATATTTTTTTTTTCAAAATTTTACCCCATAATTAACCATTTAAATGTAAAAACATTATAAAAATCGTCTAGTGTCTGCTGATACTCATGTTCTGAATCCATTGTTGTGTATTTGCTGATTTTAGGACAATAAATAGTGAAGTGGTAAAATAAGTGAATAAAATTACTTGATATTTAGCCCAATTCAGGACAGCACGCCATACGTCTTCTTCTTCAAGTCCCAAGTAGTCAGAGGAGATCAATTTCACCAGAGCATCTTTGGGTAAGTTGCTAAAAGCTGGCGTTTTAACTGTATCAATAGCATTGTCGCTTATAAATGCAAAACAGCGTTCGATGAACGATGAGCAAGCTCCTTTTCCACCTGTTGAGCAATTTTTACAATCATTAGTTCATTTTATTTCAATTATTTTCTATCTAAAATTCTAAGAATTAAAAAATTCATACTTAACTTCAGCTCCATTCCTTAAAATAACTAAATACTAAATCCTAAATAATTAAATTTAATAAAAAGTAAACAAAGGCCCAACAATTAAAAAAAAAAACATTTACATACTTTATAAAAATTTATCTAATTTATTTATCCGGCAATTTACAACAAATGATACTTAAAAATAATTCTATTTATTTAAATTCACGTTAAATGTTAATTATTATTAACTCTGCTGATTTTAGTTCACAAAATTGTTATTTAAATTAATAAGTTATTATTTTCCATATTTATAAACATTACTTAAAATTAATCTGAATGTTTTCAATAATATTAAACACAGTATTAATTAAAATAGACTCTTGAGTGACCCGGTAGTAGATCAGATGTTGATGGAGTTGATACTTGGAGAATCGAAGGCTAATTTCCATTGGGGTTGGTGTTTTGAATCAAAGTTATATTATCTCCTTTGAGCATGATCCTCCCGAGTGTCTTCCTGACCTTGGTCTTGGTGTAGTATTCCTCGGCGTCATCCAGCACCAGGTTCATGTACTCGTCGAACCCAACAATGTGTCCCTCTATTCTGAGGTTAATGTTCTCAAAAAGCCAAACCTGGACGCGAGAGCGGTTCTGTAGGTATCTGAAGATCAAGTTGATGGGTTGCACCATCACTTTTTGCACTTTTTGGGGGCCTTTGTACGACATTTTTGAGAGTTTTGTTTATTTACTTAATTAAATTAACACTCGGTCACTTTGGACGCGTGCAATACGTAAATACTTTTTGTTGGTTAGCTACAAGTATTACCGGGACGCCAGCCGGCTTTATGTACAGTTGCTGAGAGGGGAAAATTCAGCTGAAGCCACATTAGAGTGAGCTTGATAATGTAGAGCCCAGCCGGCTTTGCTTTGATTAACACGAGTCGATATTTCAGGAAATATTTGTGTTTTTTATCTTTTGCTGTATTGAAAGATCCTTGAGCGAAAAATTCAAATTGTTTTATTTTACATTTTATTTTACATAAACATTAAAGTGTATTTATCAAAGCTTTAATGTTATTTTTCTTAAAAAAAAGTAAGACCTGAAAACTTCTGACTTTTTATCGAATATCAAAGATCAAAAAACATTTTTTCTTCAATATAAATTACACATTCATTCAATATATTTAAAAAAAATTATTTTTTTATGATTTGTTTGATTAAATTTCCAAATTTGCATCAAATGTCATTGTAAAACATCACGGGATAAAAAAAAATTTTTTTTTAAACATTATTATTGGTATAAAAAAGTAAAATAACTAGTGCAATAAATAATAATTGACGGCAATTACAAGGGAGCAATTTATTTGAACTAAATAATAGTTTGTTAGGTAGACAGCAAGATGGGTTGTAGGTATATCTGAAAAGACTATATAAGCCGGATAAAATCTTCCCCACATCAATTTTCGCAATGCTTTCCCAGCAGCGGGCTCTATATATTCCGGTGACTAGAATGGGGAATAAACGTAAATCTAAATTAAAATAATGAAGATTGATGACACCCTGGGAATATATAATTTTTTGTAGAAATTTTTTTTTTAAACATTCTGCTGATGCTGACGAATTTAAAAATGATATTATACTCCGGTATATAATACACAGATGTCTGTGATGTATAAATGAATAGAGTTTCGTTATCAAAGGGACAAAATTCCACATAAATAGATATTTATTAGCTAGAGTAGCTGTAAGCTCACTTGAATTTTTTATTACACGATAGCATCACCAGACACCAGTCTATACAGTAACTAATGGTATTTACCGTAAAGCCAATTTCATTGGTTATTTTTAGTTGCTTTCTTTAAAAAGTAAAAAAAATGAGCCAAGTAAAACGCTTTTACGTGGAGCTTTAATCGATAATTCGCTCGTGATTTAAAACATGCAATATAAACCGGGCAAACTTGAAAGAGTAACGTCAACGTTCGATAAAAAAAAACTCCGAGGGGCTCTACTCGGAGTGGAGAACAGTAGAGAGAAGACTCTCTTCCGAGGCAATGCCAATATTGAGACACGATTCGATAAATAATTCAACAAGATACTCTCTATACTACAAGATTAAATTTACTTTAATGTCAATAAGTCTGTCTTGGACATTCTTATTTTTATATAAATTTAATAAATTCAATAACCCACTTAACAAATCTAAGAAAAAAAAAATTGAATCTTACCAAGAACTCGGTCTTGAGCATCCAGAGCCGCCGTAAGAAGCGCACATGCATTTCCGGGACTCAAAGTTGCTGATACATGTTCTTCACAACTCCTCCAGAGCTCCTCGACTCCAAGCTCTTGAGCTAAAGCGAGCATTTCAAATATTCCGCTGTCTTGGAGCATTATCTGGAAACATACGAGATTTAATAATCTATTTCTGAATTCTCTGCTTAGTCATATATTAATAATTTTATTTTTGCTGGTCAATGCCCAGGAATCCAAAATATTTACTTTTCCCGTGTAGACGTAGTGAATGAACTGTCGAAATGTCTCGGGATGAGCATGAGGCATTCTGATAGGCGTTGGGTTCCCCGAGGTTCCCATACGTTTTGGTGTTGTGAAATTTTTGCACCTGATGAAAAATATTATTTCATTATTAGAAATTTTTTATCTGATTAAATTTCTTGAAGAATATTTTATATAAATTGATTTTGACGATAATTAATTCCTGCAGTGGTGTGTGAATTTTATATAAAAATAAGAATAGAGTGACTTGTTCATCACCGAGCACTTGTAACTGTTCTAGTCCCCTTAGCAAAAGAACTTAATTGACTTCGTCAGTGGAACAATGCTCGGCTGGGTAAAAAGTAAAAATACTTGGACTATATATGTAATATATTATAAAAAAATTTCTTTGGTTAAATAATAATAGAATAAATACTTTTTATTGTACATAGTTTCTAAATTAGAACAATAAAATATTTTTTGATTCAATTGTCGTGTAAACAGAGACAAGTGGAGAGTTTTCATCTGAGGCTTCACTGTTTTATAATTTAAATGAAAATTTATTCAATTTAATTGATCAACCCTTAAATTACTTGAGTGATATAATAGTTGTATAGTACTTGACAAGATTTAAAATGAATATCTCTTTAAGCCATCGAGAAGTCTTTCAGGATTTAGCATAAAAGCCAAGATTATGAGAGTAAAATCGTCGGGTTTCAGAATTTTTATGAATAGAGAAAAAAATGAATAAATAAATAGATGAAAAAAAAAAAAAGGAAAAAATAAGCAAAAGAAAATAAAAGGAGAAGGTAGAAAAGGTATTGAAAGAAGGAGTAAGTAATATGCAAAGCGAGTAGTATCGAATCAAAAGAAATGTGTCAAAGGCTGCAAGGTTGTTGCTGGCATTGCGTATGAGTTTAAAAAAATATATTAAAATAAAGGGGAAAGAGAAGGAGAAAGAAAATAAAGGTGTACTTTGATACGAAAGAAAGTAGACAAATAGAGAAATATACATTTATATAGACGTAGGAGTGCAGAGCAGCTGTTGGTTGTTGGGCTGTATATTTTGTGTTTTTCTATATTTTAATGCGAGAAAAAATACCAGAAAACACTCGAAAAAAATTGCAACGTTTTCGTTCGTTTGATGATGTACGACTCTTGATTTTTCTTTTGGTCTCTCTTTTTCTATCTTACTGCGCTCCACGGTCTCGAGCTTTTCTTTTGGCAAACGCGAGGCTTTGCGCGCCTTTGACACTTTTTATAACTACTGTAAATCAAAAACTTTTTGAATAACGAATAGAACATTCACGTGAGATTTACAAGAGCTTAATATTCTTTGTACCTTTATGCTTACGCTGGAAGTTAACTTCAACATAACATGAAAGATAAATGAGTAATGAGATCAAGCTAGTCTCATTTCAAAAGATTACTTTTCGTTTTTATTTTTTACTTCATTAATAATTATCCTTCAATTTGAGAATAACTTCCATTAAAAGATGGCAGGATTGCAATTACCTTTTCGTTATTTAACCCGCTGAGTCGATAAAGTGATTTTAAATGCAACACATAATAAGAAAATTTCTACAATAATTGTTTCTTTTATTAATTCTGGTAAACTAACCGCTGTATTAAAAAATATTAATAAAAAATAAAAGCAGTTGTGTTCAAATTACAGTGATATCTGAGACACGGTTGATTGAATAGAACGGAGGTGAAACTTGTCACATTTTAGAATTAATGTTCACAGTTGGTGTATTAAAAAAAAGTTTGTACAGTCTGTAAGAAAAACCAGCAAGCGTTATCATCCTCTCGCATGACTACTTCTTCAAACATCTCAAAAGTTAGTTTATTTTATCGCAAAATAATTTTTCTCAAACAAAAATAGTAATAAAATAAAATAAAATGAAAAAAGCCATCCCAGGCGAGAAACTTTTCCGAGTTTATCGGATTTTCTCGAGATTTTTTTGCAAGGAAAAAGTTTCGCTGCATACAAGCGTGTCCTTACTCCTTACTACTCCGGGGCTACCCTGTACTGTCGTAAACTTTTTTTATTATTTTTAAAAAGACGTAAGGTTTTGATTTCAGTGTTACATGTATGGATCAATGTAAAGACAAAAGGATAAACCCTTCCGCAGTCTCGAGAGCACCAACGAGGGTGTTGTAGAGGAAAAAACTCACTCCTTACCCCTCACCCTCTGACCACCTTTCCCACTCTCTCTTTCTCTCTCTCTCTTTCTCCCACACATTTTTCTCGCCCATCCGGCACTTCCTACCTCTCAATGCCTCAACATCAACCGCATTGCGCAATATCCCTTGTATTTTTTGAGTGCTGTTATTTTTTCTGCTTTTTATTTTCACACCTTGCTTTCAATTGTCAATCTTTCTTGGAAAAATTGTGGGTCAATTTTAATGATGCATCTGATAATAAATCAACTGGAAAAAATAAATATATATATACAAATTTTTTTTAATTCTTTGAATATAATAGTTGTGGAGGAAAATAATAAGTATAAAAAAAATTTTCGCATCACAAAGAGGTTTTCTCTAATCACGCGAATTTAAAAAGTGATGCATAGAAGGCAAACCAAAAATTAAAAATGACGACAATAGGCCTTAGTTATTATATATTATGACAAAGAGAATCCGCGAGGACTCGTATAAATAATAAAAATAGTGTAGATGTTATATAGTAGCAGAGCAAAGAGACTGAGGACTAGCTAGATACGGGAAGAGAGAAAGAGAGAGGATGAGGAAAGTAAAAAAGATTGTGATAAGGGTTTGAGGGTTTGGGGCTTGTCACACGGGAAAGGTGGTCGGTGGCAAGGGTTCAATGTTGCCTGAGGGTTTGCTGGCACTAACGACCAAGCACACGATTATACGCCCCCTATGCCCTATACCCTCTCGGGATCACGGGAAGGAGAACCAGAAGAACCGATCTGCGCGAAAAAACCGCGGGTGTTTTCCGTTACACGTACCAACTGCTCGAGGGCGTTTTTTCTTCCTATTCCGCTTTGTCTTTGTTCGTTTTCTCCTCACTTCCATCCAATTCCTGCACTCTCTTTTGAGGAACAAAGATCCAGAGCATCCACAGACTGGTTAGTGAGAGTCCAATTGTAGTAATAGCTCCAGGACAGATTGATCGCTACTTTTGGTTGGCTCGATACCTATACGTATATACAGAACACCTACTCAACTTCTACCCTCCGTTACTCAGTGGTTTCCGTTCAGGTTTGTCGTTTTGATTGCGTCTCAAGGAGAGTAGATCCTTCAGTCAAGTTAATTGCTATCTTTAATTAAGAATTTAATCTTTTTTAATTTTTACATCTTTTTAATTAGATCATCTATTTATTATAAACTCTTTTCTTGTTAATTATTATTATTTTGAGAAAAATATTTATAATCATTCAATTTAATACTTTGAAAACAAAAATTCCGAAATAAACGTAACAACAATTATCTAGGCCATCAGTTATCTTTTCCTTGAATTGTAACGGTGCATTAAGATTTCTAAATGACTTTTATTATTATCAATTAATGCATTATTTAATTTTTACTGTTTGTTCTTTGTTTTGTTGAAAAAAAACAATAACAACTATTTAATTTCATATCTTCAATTAAAAAAATTATTACAAGATCGTTAAAAAATAGTTTAATATCACTCTAAATTGTAAAAACGCATTATGATTTCTACACTATTAGTCTAATTAGTCTAATTACGATCAATTAAAAAATTTTTTCATTATTGTTTGGTCTTTGTTGTTGACCACTTCCCACCTACGATTTAACTATGCGTATTAGATCATTTCAAACAGCCTCAAGACATTTTTTTATGTATTAATACCGTGTTTTTTGTTTTCAAAATTAAAACTGAAAATTTTTGAAGTTTCTAAAGCTGCCAGTAAGTCTGTTGTTATTTCTTTATAATTGCAGTACAATTTTTAATTTTTATTCTGAAATTAATCATATTTTTTAGTTAACCAAACTAATGAAAAATTGTCAAAGATTTTAATTATTTTTCTTCTTCTGGCACTATTCAGTGTGATATGTGTATTATCATTAAATGAATCAACTTGTAACAGAAAAGTATGTATTCAAACAATTCTGAAGTAATATTAAACAAAAAGCAGTCATTTTAACAATAAACGATTATTAATTTATTTTTAGTGCTGCGAAGGTTGCTGTCCAGGATGGGCATGTGATCGTAAGCGCAATGTGTGTCGTGAACTACTATAATGACAATTATAATCATTCAACGGTAGCTTGTAATATCGATTCATGAGTCAATAATAAAAAATAAAATTTAAAAATCATTTTTTTATCTGTAGTAAAATAACTCCTAAGGAATATATTAATCTAAACATTAATGAGAGACTGAAATTTGAATGAGATGTCAATTCTAAAGATTATAATTAAATTCCTATATTGAATATTTGGCCTTTCAACCCCGTAGACTTATACAATATTCAGTAAATTAAGAATCGAAGCAATTTTACGGAGAAATAGTCCCTTAATTATAGAGTCAATGGGAAGAGTCGAATTACCTTAATTTTGCATCGACATATTCGGTATATTTACAGTGGGAGGATTTCGTCAAGTGGATTTTGACGTGAAGTCAAAGACAGAAATGGTTCGCGGTGTAGGGATGCTTTGTCGGTCGATTCTCTGGTTCTGTTATGTGTATAGTCGTATAGTTATACAGAGGAAACCACTCGATAGGAGCAGAGAGGCTTGATTGCAAGACAAGAAACTCTGAAAATTCAAACTATTAAACGCGTGCGTATGACGTTTTGATGTTCTGGCTCTTGATGCTGAAGACATCAATAGAAACACAAAGCACAATAATGGAATACCGTACAAATATTATCTTCAAAGAGACATAATATTGATATTTAATGTATACTCTGTACACTCTGCAATATAAATTTAATACGGTTTCATCTCGACTCTCAACACATACATCACCATTATCATCAATTCATCATTATTATTATTAATATTATAAATCCATTTCTCGTCAAAGTAAATTTATATCGTTAAATAAAAAATCATTTTTAACAAACCTGACTTGAAGAATAATCCGATGACCATAAACAGGAGTTTCGTCTCTCCCAAGTAAAAAAACAATGTCCGCAGACTCATTGTCCTCAGAAAGTCTCGTCAAATCTTCAAGAAGTCGTGGTACACCCGCTAGACCAGCTTCTCCGACCACTCCAGCTCCTCCAGCACTTCCTAATCCTACAGCTCTAGTGCCCATTATTATTTGCCACTATTCTATCTCGAAAACTGCAACAATAAGCCCCTAAAAATAAAAAATACCTTTTTGTTTTTTTGTTGATTCACCCGAAAAGTAAAACAAAAATAAATATAATGAATATTTAAAGCACAGCGATATTTATAGTATTGGTCATTCATGTAAAATCTGTCAACAATTATAACCAGCAATTTTTTATCCTCGACTCGAGATAGCAGAAAATAAAAAAAAAACTAAAAATGAATAGAGTACAATCGTCGCTAATTGCATTATCAATGTTTCATTTCACTACACACACGTATAAATATACCATATATACGATTCGCTGTTACATACATGCATATTTATAAAGCAGTGTAGAGCAGACGCGCGAAATAAAACCCAGCTCATCACATCATAGATATAGGTATAGAAATACCCGGAATAATATGACGGTGTGGGTTTAATTTTTGTGTCTAGTATAGGCTCTCTACTCTCTAGTGTAGCTTCTGGTCACTACTCGGTCTCTCGACTGGACCAAATAACCCGGTACTCTATCATACGTGCTACGTGGTTTCATGTTTCATCTATTTTTCATCAGCGGTTTTTATTGTTCCCCAATTATCCAGCCTGCACTACAAATAAATCAAATGCCCGAGTTTAAAATTTTATAATTCGACGTTATCAAATTGAGTGAAATAATTATCTACTGTAGATTAAATAATAACAAACGTTTATAAAATTATCATCAAAATTCATTTACCACGTGGACTCGTGAGTAAACACTTGTCTCTTGAATAGTCACTAAAAATTATCGACTCGGTAAACAATCGAGACCATAAAGGCAAGTTTTTGAAAATTTTCTTTGGCACTTAAACTTTCGAAAACCACTAAACAATCAGTGAGATTTGTTGAGAAACAAATAAAATACAATAACAACGTTGCCAGATTTAGTTAAACTGTGTATAGTTGAGGCACAGACACAAGAACCACCAGAACAACTTAAGAGACTTGAAACGAAAGCGACCGAAAGCGAAATAAAAAGGACGCGCTCGCTTTTCTAACGCAGGTTCGCGATACGATACATATACATAACAGCTCCGGGTATAACGACCTCCAAGGACTCGAACTCTCAACCAGAAGTTTGCTTAATATTTTATCCGAACGTACCTTGATTCGATAAATACTTTAAAAATTCACAGAAATCACTGCAGTTATCCCTAATTTCAAAAAACACTTTCTGTTATTGATGGTTATGGCTGAATATTTGGAATTGTTTTATTTTTGATGGGAAAACCGGAATTCCTGAGATCCTCCGCTATCTGTATCCCTTCTCAGGTATCTCAGGTGTATTTTAGGGTCTCAAGAGTTGAGAAGAAAAAATTCCTGGTGTAGTATTTGAAGGTAAAACAGGAAAAATCGATGTAGATCTCTCGCTTGACGGTAAAATAGAGTTGATAGCTGCAGAATTGTCCTCTGGTAAATTGCGTTGTTATTGATTGAGGATATTTACAATGAATATTCCTCGGTGAATAAATATTTTATTGAATTCTCTGAATAATTAATCGAGTTAAGTTAATGAAGGGTTTATTTCAGTGTTGATTAAACGAATAAATTTTCTGACTCATCAATTTACTCTCGAATAATCGAATATTCATAAATTTACCAAGTATTCAATATTAATAAACTTTGAGTGACTATTTTACTAGTGATGATTTTTTAAATTTAAAAATTATCCGGCCGTTTATTGAACTTTTAAATCATATTAATTATAATTATACCAAAATTATGATTAATTATATATTTTTAACGATTTATTACCATTTGGTATTTGTTTGATTGATTAATGGTAGCGAAAATTTACTTTTAGTAAACAGAGTGATTATAAATCCAAGAGCGAAATTACTGTGTACGTGATGATGATGATGATGATGAATATGTGAGGATAACAAAACAATTGATTCGGTAATCAAAGCACGAGATACTCGATGATTGCACACGATTTCAATTAAACGCTTGCAAACACACTAATAATTTTTAATTTTCCCGGATTTTATCCTACAGCTGTAACTATGATTATCACGGACAGAATTATTACGAAATTCCGCTGAATAAATATTAAACGCAGTACGCTCAACCACACAATGGAATTTGTGTACACAAAATAATAGATATAATAATTATAAAAAAAAAACCAAAGATTTATACGTGAGTGTCAGAGACAGACTCAAGTTTTTGAAGGTTTTACTTAAACTTTTTGATTGTTTGTTCTACAGAGGAAAATGCTTTTCTTGTAAAAAATAACTAAATCGTTTTATTTACGTCTCGCCTTCTTGCTTTGTAGATCCGTTATTGTTCTATCGCTTTTGCTGAAATGTGTCAAGCGCACGATAAAATCCATTAATGTTTTCCTTTTTTGGAATTCCTGAGAATTGAGAATAAAGATTCTTGCCATTATTACATTTTTTGTCTCCTTAAATAAATTTGTAAAATAATAAATAGAGAAAATTCAAGTGCTAAAGCTGTTAAAAATAGTTAAAAAAATTTTTCAAGATTAATGATAACATAATTCAATATAAATTGGACACTTTTATTACCGCAGAGACATAATACTTAAAAAAATACACGGAGAGAAATTTATAGGAATCTTTCCAACAATTATGGGAATGGATCCTATAATAAAATTATCATTATAGGCATTAATCCTATACTCATTATGGGAACCATACCCATAATTTATTGGAAACGTTCCTATACAATAATGGAATAGCTTCAATATATTATGGGAATGGTTCCTATAATATTATGGGAATGATGCACATAATAATAGACAAAAGTTTATTTTCTTAATAATGAAGCAATCACTTTAAAAATATCAAGTAATTATTATGTATTTTTTTGCTAATACTTTTTTTTTTTTAAATAAAAATTGATCTTTCACTAGAGTGAAAAAATTTCTTATTCATCATTTTTATTCACGTGTGTACTTAATCTTGAATTATTTATTCCGGCTCAGTTATTATTGTGTTAAATAATATTGTAGCAATTTTTAAGTTTCTCTAATAAAAAGGATATTTTCTCACTATGCAATTGTAGGAGCAAAATAGATATGGGAATTCATTGTTTATTTTCACAATTTCGTTTTATTTTTAAAGCAAATTATTTATTTACAATACATACGTTGAGCCGAGAAAGCATTTGAAAATTTGGAATTTCAAAACAGTTGGAAATTTTATTTTATTTAAGAAATTTTTTTTTTAATTACCTTTTTTTTTTTTTAATTAATTTTATTTTAATTTACAAGCATGTATATCATTCAAGATTAAAAAAATATCAACTGCTGCAACTAATTAATTTCATAATGATAATAATAATAAATATTATTACTGATAACTTTTTTTATCAATTTATATATTATAAAAAAGAGAGTGGCTAACGGTACGGCACCTTTAGCCACGTCCTATAAAAAAAGAATCACTTAATCAAAAAAAAATAAATCTAGTGAAAAGTAGTTAATTAAATACCACAGTGGTGTGAAAAAAAAATTACTCCAATATTATTGGCATCATTCCTATAATATTATGGGAATGATTCCCATAATATTATAGGAATGGTTCCTATAATACTATGGAAACTATTCCTATATATTATAGGAACCATTCCTATATATTATGGGAACCATTCCTATATATTATGGGAATCATGCCGATATTACAGTTATAATTATAGGTATCGTTTCTATAATTATAGGAACCATTCCCATAATTATAGTAACGTTTCCCAAAAATTATGGGTATAATTCCCATAATTTAAGTAATCGCTCCTAAAATGGTATAGGAAAATATTTCATTAAAATTATAGGAATGATTTCCATATTTTTCTCTCCGTGTAGACTTTTGATGCTAATGGAGTATGAAAAAATTTTTATTATCATTCAGAGCAAATTGTCTGAGTTATTGCTGCTTTATCAAGAGCCCAATAAAATTTCCATTTAAGATATATGTATGATTATTGTCTGCAACCAATATTTATTTTCAGTCTATAAATATAAATGTAATTACCAAAAATGAAATAATAATAGTATTTAATCAAGAGACAAAAGTAATTAATGAGGAGGGAGTAAGTAAAGAAGGAGAAGGAGAGGCTAAATATGATTAAGAATAGACTGGACAGAGAAGAAAATATAATAACAATGGGGAAAATGGTGTAGGAGCAGTATGAGAGGTAAAAGCGTGTTTTGAATCAAGCTCTCTCCTTTTTCGTGAGTTTCATTTACACAGGCTGGTTATTTCACGCGCGAACGCGATGTAAGCGAATAAAGATCGTTTCCCTGGCAATCTTTTTCTCCACCGTTCACCCTAGCTCTCGCGGTCCGTCTCTCTCGGTCTCTTTTCCGGGAGCGTTTTCCCCAAGAGAAATCTTTTCAGCTATACAAAATTATGCCTGCATTTCACAGCAGTAATTTCTTATCAAGACTTATTTCTCGCTCGCTTCTTCTTCAGCTCTGTACCCTTTACTTGTTTTCTTGCATTTTCACCACTCATTATTATAATAATACTTGCCTCGACAATTCCCGTTGTTAATAATTACTGCTTTACTAATTGTATATTCGGCTCACAAATTCAAATACCATTCCCGACAATTCTACAAAATATAAACTTTTTTTTATTTCAACACTAACTACAATGCCAGTCATTCAACAGCAATAACAATAAATTTTAGAGCTCAAATTAAATTATATCTCCTTTTTTTTTAATCATTAAAACTTACTTTTTGCCCTTAACTTCTTTGTGTATTGTCTATTGATCTAACAAAAAAAATGTTGTTACACTTTGCGGGGTGTTTAACAAATTGTCGCGACAATGAACCACATTCGAATTGTTCAATGAAGAATGAACGAAAAAGTTTCTCTCGACATTTAATACCCACTCTTTTTATCGTTTATCGAACAGTCAACGCCTCGGGCTGTAGTTTCCCATTTTTTCCTGCTCCCATATTTTTTTTCTTTTTTTTTTACAAAAATA